ATTAATAGTCGTAACATCTTTGGTGATTTGTCAAAAATCTATCATCGCCAATCACCATATCTAAAATTATCAAATTTATCTTGCATATTTCTTTTCATTCATCAGAAATTTCTCTCCATGGAATTCTAAGTAATTTCTCAGAATGCAAAGAGAGAGGCATGTAGAAGACGAAATCAATCCAAGGTTTGCACATGCATGAAAATCATTATTTAAATGGTTGGTAACTTGACTTGCTTCACCATTCAAATGAATACCAAGTCCCCACAACTCAACACTCCACTGACCACCAAAGACCGAAAAGATTCAATGCACAACCGACACAAGTCTACTTTAATATATTATGATAAATGCATTAATAAAACAAGTTGAAAAACGAAATGGAGTTGTCATGAATGGTGTGTTTTTTACTTGGATTGTTGACGAGAGGAGGAATGGAGTTGTCGTCGTCGTCATCGATTTCTAGCAAGGAATGGAGCTGTCGTCGTCCATTTCCGACGAGGGAGGAAGGCGTAGTCGCGATTTCAGAAAGTTGAGTCACGATCGATTTCAGCAAGGAATGGTTGCGATTTCAGACTTCAGAGAGTGGAGTTCATTGAGATTGAGTGGCGATTTGTGTGGGATTTCAGATTTTCAGCATGGTGTTAACATTTTTTCAGAGGATTTTGCATAGAGAAAGGAGAAAGTGAGAAATTAGGGATTTTTTCCCCTTTTCAGACGTTAGACCGATTTTTCAAGTGGTCCAGTCCGACTGGTGGTTTACACTGTTCGCGTGGTTCATTGGCGGTTCATAGCGGTTCATTGAGTAATACCGAGTTTTATATTGACTCGAACCGGACACGTGACCAGGATTTAATTTAAAATCAACTTCTTCAACTAAAACATAGGATTTTAGGGAGAAAAATTAAAATAAAAAATCATTAGAAGAAATAAATTACAAAATTTTTAAATAATTGCNCACCTACCTTTCCAACTAAGTCCAACGCAAGGACTTTTAATTGACGATGCGTTCCGTCGTCAGCAAGCGGTGGCCGACAAGGCCCTTTTCCCTAAGGGAAGCGAAGAGGACTGGTTTGAAACTCGTTCGGTAAGATTCTCCTGCATTTACCCAAGGCACTGATATTCTGAGTCTCTCAATTAGTTGTGTTTTAGGTAGGGGGTTTTCGTCTTATTCTTATGAGTGGCCTATGTGAATATGAGCCAAGCCAGGAGCAAGGATTCCTGAAAGTGAAATTAGATATAAAAAAAAGTGCAAGTCGACGTTTCTGATATGAAAGGTTAAAGTGTAGTGAAAGCCGGCTCTAAGCAGGATCCAAAGACGTTCAAATCCAGTTCCAATCTGGATATCAAAGTGCAGTTCAATCGTCGAAAGTGAGATCTCTTTGAGTCCGGTCTTCTTTTTTCTTTTGAGTCAGGTTCTTAAGACAGGGCAGGGAATCGGGTTTTATGAATATCTCTCTTCCGGCCGTTAGTTCGAGATCAAAACTTTACCTGAGAGAGACGTCACTGATAGTAACAGTAGGTGCGCCTTCAGTTGAGGAGAGCTGTTCACAAGCAGTGGTTATGAGCTCTTTCTTGTTTCGATTCAGAAGAGGTAATGCACTAGTGGATTGAATCACCTTTTTTTTAGTGCCAACAAAGTGCATGTGTTGTTGGTTAATAAAAACACGAATTTCGATAGGCTGGAGGACTGATACTATAAGTAGGATAAACGCCTTAAAAGCAAAATGAAAGGTTTCAACTTATCCAAGGAATCTCTTTCTTGGCATTTGTATTTGAGAGAGAGCTATGCTTAGGGTCAGTTCCTTCAGTAAACTGATTTGGTAAGTCAGAAGTTCACTTTAGGTAAGTAAGTAGTCCCGTATGAAATTCATAAAACATTCATATCCGGCACTTGAGGAGGTCAATCTTAAGTGTTGGAAGCTACTGCTAAGGTACTCCCCTTCATCTATAAAGGATAGGCAATTGAGAGAATAGGGCGATAGCCTGGTTTTGATTGAATATCCTTTCCTGTGCTTATCTTGTATGAGGTATACCGAAGATCTGAGTCAAAGTAGGTAAGAGAAGGGGATGGATGTCTGAGCGGTTGAAAGAGTCGGTCTTGAAAACCGAAGTATTGAAGGGAGGGATTGCTGTTTTTTATTAGTGAGGGCAAGCAGCTTTCATTTTCTTAAATAGAATGGTAGGGCTTTAAAGAGTAGGCGGTTCGTATGTTTTTATGACCCCCAGAATAAAATCAAAATAATAAGTAGGAGGATACGCAGAGCAAGAGCTCTTGAAGTCTACCCGGGCGCGCTTCTTCATTCATCCATTTAGGCCCGACTAGGAACACGTGGATCCAGGAACCCGGCTCGGGAACAGCTTCTTACTAGTAGGGGCTAATCACAGTAAGAGAGTCCAATCTCTGAAATAGAGCTTATCTCTCCATAGTAGTATACTAGTAGAAGGCGTAGGTTATGACTTAATCCAATAGAGTCAGAACACCTTTCTATCTAAAAGGAATGGTGCTCGATGAAACGATCCAGATTCCACACTATGCTGTGGGCTGGGAGAGAGCAGCTCTGCGAAGCTGGGCGTTCAGTGTTCTTATGGAGGAACCATACTAGAAAGAGAATAGAAAGGGCCTTCAAAAAAGAGCGAGGGAGTGATGGGCAACCTTAGTCTATAGTTGCTCGTGAGCCGCCAAGTACCAGTCTCGCAACAGTACTGGCGCAAAAGGATCGGTCCTTCACTTGCTGATCGTTCGCGAGTCGAACTCGCTCTCTTGCCACGCCTTTCACTCACTCGCTTGAGTCGGACTCAATCACTCTTTGGAGGATCATTCGTTCTTCACTCTCTTGCTATTACCCGCAGGGAGCGCAGCAACCAAGGTGCATATTATCATATAGAAAGAAGCGAAGCGTAGCGATTCGTACTACCGGAAAAGTTTCGCTAACCTAACCGGCAGGCAATAGAGTCCGCCGATAGGCGCAAGCAAGCGTAGCGAATCACATAGATAAGCCCCTACCCCGCCAGCGCGCGGATAGATAGGCGGGCGAAGCGCAGGTAAGTAAGTAGTCCCGTATGAAATTCATAAAACATTCATATCCGGCACTTGAGGAGGTCAATCTTAAGTGTTGGAAGCTACTGCTAAGGCACTCCCCCTCATCTATAAAGGATAGGCAATTGAGAGAGAATAGGGCGATAGCGATAGACACAGGAACTGAAATAGACTAAAAGATGACTTCCGTAGAGGAGAGGGGAAACCCGCTTAGATAGGGGGATAGCCCGGTTTTGATTGAATATCCTTTCCTGTGCTTGTCTTGTATTGAGGTATACCGAAGATATGAGTAAAAGTAGGTAACATGCTGATGTTATGCACCAATTTCTCAAACGTTGGTGTCGGTAAGGTTTTAGTAAGTTATATTAACAAGGTTATTCTGAATGTATTTGTTTGACATCAATTTTTCTATTATGTTGAAGTTTGTGTGTAAGAGAATTTTAGAGAGATATGTCCTCCTCTTACTTAAGCAATACATACAACATCCTAGTCTTCAAATATTGTGAATCCCAAATATGGCAATATTCATAGAGAGGGGTGAATAGGAATCAATGAAAATAATTGTGGAATAAAAACTTTCACCAACCACACAAGTTATGAACTAATATCAACAACAATAATAAGTAATAAATGACAATGTTAATGATCAACAAAGATAAACAATGGTGAGCAATAACATGTGAGAGCAATAAATATGACAAGTGACAATGATGTTCAAAGTTATAAATATGTAAGGAATAATAAATGAGTTGAGAGAGAAGAAACGCTAAGAGATTTATAGTGGTTCGAAGCTATATCTACAAGCTTCCTACATCCATTTCTTCAAGGCAACCTTCTTGAAATTCCACTAGAATCAAATTACACCCTTTACACTAGTTTGATAGGATTTCGCCTCTTATAATAGTTTGACAGGATTTCACCTCTAGATTTACAGGATTTCACCCACAAAATGTTCGAATAAAAGTTTGAGATTGATTGCCTCTCAAACTAGGCTTAAACACACAATATACTTTCAAAGGTTTTCAATATGAGTACAAGAAAGTGATAATGATTTAGATTTTTAGCTCGAGGGATTATGTAAGAATGTTTTTTATGAGCCTTTTGTTTCTCTAATATTCACTATATCTATCTTTGCAATAAATCGCTTTTTATTTATTGCTTGTCTCTCCCCTTTGAAGTAAAGAGTCGTTGTTACATGTAATGCACCTTTGAAAAGTTGTAGTACCTAGAGGAACAGGTATTCCACCATCGTGAACGGTCATTCCTAACATAATAGATACTTTTGCTCAGCTTTAAGGTTCATGGAATGATCGTTCCACCATCGCAAATAGGTGTTCCACCATCGCAAATGGTCATTCCACCCCATGGAACGACTGGTCCATTGGCTCCTTAAAATCCATAAAAATTCCAAAGCCACGAACGGCCTCTTGGAACGATGTCATTCTCCTAAGGAAGGGACTTTGAAAAGAAAATGGATGTAAATTGCAATGCATAGTCAAAACAAGGGACCGTGAGCTAAATATGACAGAACAATATATGATAGTGGAGATAATAACCTTGATCATCACAGGGAATCCAATCTCATGGGCAAGCTTGATCGCTTCCTCTGTGCTCTGTATCAACAATTAATCAACAAAGAGAGCAAGTAATAGCAAACTGTCATATCACTACTTGGTGTAAAGATCATAATACAAAATAATCGAAATGTGACACCGTAACAATCCAGCACTCCCCGGTACAGTAGGAACACCTGCATTTCATTGTCTCCCTGGCAGTTGATTTGTCACCCATAATGCGGATACTGTCGGGCTACCAAAACATGATTGGAATTCAATACATATTTAGTCTATAAAAATAGAGACGATCCTTGCTAGGAAACACTATTTGCATTTTCTATTGTACTACCCCGATTTGAAGTACTTACATTTGGCCCAATAAATTGATTCCATGCTCTCTGCACATTTCAACAATACTGCATTCTCAGCAAGAAATCCATATCCAGGTGAAGCATTGTGCAGCCTCGACTGATAGCAGCAGATAGAACATTTGGAATCAACAAATACCTGTGGAAAGACAGCTTAATATGCCATGATGATCCATACCAGAAATTGAAAAAGGATGAATGCAAAACTTCAGCCTCATATTCACCATATTTGTTCAGTACAAAGGTTTTCCTCAAAGAAGCGTATTATTGAATTTAGATTAAAACCATCTACACTAGTGGTCCTATAGTTCCATTCCATATTATTCCGTTAGGGTTCAAGTAGTTTAGTTTTGATCCTCAAGTTTATGGATTTGATCACCTGATATCTAAATCATCTAGTTGGGTCAACAGTTAGTTAATGAGTTGAAAACATTTTTTGCTGTATTTACTTCATACTTGTTTGGCTAACCATTAGTGCGGACATGGCAATATATGAGTTTCTCTGGTTATGACCAATCATATAAAATGAAATGGATGAACCTTCGCCACTGTGGGAACCATAAGCCGCAGAAAAACTTTATGAAACACCCAGTATTGAGTTTCAAGTTTAAATAGGCACAAGTAATGCAGAACTGTATTAAGACAAATTCTCACAATCTAACTAGCTTTGAAATGTATGGATTCCATTTCTCAAGCAAGGTATCTAAAGGTCCCAGTTTTCAAGGCATGAACTCAATGATAATTACCCCATCCATAACAATTTTCTGTTTATCCTTGTTTCGCACTTGGGAGGACAAATCAATGATTAACAAACGATATAAAACAAATGATGACAATTGCAAAACAATAAGATAATGATGAGCACTTACGATTGACTACTGGTGCTTCGCCTATACAAACCGATTCATCAGCCAATGACTGAAGTGCATCCTTGTCAATGGTAGAGTAACAGCAACACAAAGGTATTCCCATTTCATGAGCAGTCCGAATAACTCGAAAGCAATTTCTCCTCTATAGCTATAAGAATTTTCGCCACCACGGCACTCAACACTAAGCTCCAGCGTGTCTTTTTGAATTCCTGCTAACTTAACTTTACCCGCCTGAGCTATTTGCCTAGGAAAATTAATCCTACTACTCCCCACCATAAAGCTACATTGAGAACTCCTTATTCCACTACTTCTCCCAAAGAATAATCCCTTCATACAACAAATACATAACATAAGAATAGAATTCAAAGTCATTACAGCATGAAACCACTCTGCTCTAAGAACAAAAAACAAGGCTATTTTATAACCACCCCTAAACTTTACAGCAATTAAAAATCCCCGTAATTTGAAATTTATCATTAGCCTCCCTAACCAAGAAGCCCTGGCTTAACATAGTTAGAGAAAACACGAGCAGTCAGTTTAATACAGGGGAGGTAAGTGATATTTCCAAAACATAGGGGTTAATTTACGACTAGAAAACTAGCCCATAATTTCATTAAACTACAACAACAGATGAATTAAAGTTCATTGCAGAATTAAACTAAGAAAATAAAAATAATCATCTTTTTATACAACAGAAATATAAATGATTGAATAATTTAATTCAAGTAAAGAAAAATAATGGAGTGACTTACAGGAGGGTTGAGAGGGATTTCGACATGGTCATTGAGGCGTCCATTTTGAGCGAAGCTGAAATGAGAGGAGTTGAAATGCAATGTAGAGGAAAAAGAGAGAAGTTTGGAAGTGAAAGAAAGGAATGTGTGAAGAAGTGGGTGGAGAAGTTGAGATTTGAAGGGAGAAGTTGTCGATGGAAACGAGGTGTCTCACTAATTGAATGCTCCGCCTAATGGTTACTAAACAACAACTAGGAGGCATTCCTGGTCCGGTTAGGAAAACGGGCCATTTGAATCGCTGGTAATGTAATCAAACATGTCCCACCATGAACGGGTTGGATCCAGACTAGTTTCTTTAGCAATCGCTGAGTGGGTTTTTTTAAAGGATATTGGTCCCGTGAGGTTTTTGAAAAAAAATATCAATTCAAGTTTTAAGTGATAAAATAAAAATAAAAAACCACCTTGGGTCTTGGTAGCCTGACCATAAAAGAGAAAAATAGTACTAAGTTTATATATATTTGGAGTCGACCCTATTAAAGGTGATAATTATACTCTTATCTGATGATAATTCTAAATTCTAGAGGATTGCACGTAAATAATCTAAACACTTCACTAAAAGAGAATTTTTGTTATTTTAGAAACTTTAAAAAATTTTGATTATCATACTTTAGGGGTCTACGTTTTAGCCCTTTTTTTTTTTTTAAAGCAACCTTCAGTCTCCTTTTTTTCATGTAACCATCTCAATGGTTGGTTAAAAATACCTTTATTAGAGGCTTACTGATATATTAATACTAAAATTCAAAATTTATGATAATATTAGTCTAAGTAAATTAATTAAGGAACAAAGCAAGAATAAAGTTAAGAAAAAGTGTAGAGAAGTGAAAGTGTAAAAGGTATAATGGAAGAAAACCTGGAGGGAAGTGAAGAGAAAGGGAGAGTTTGGACTTATTAAGGATTTGCATTCAAAATTTAGCGGTGCCGGTCAACCTACTTATTGATCTTTCCCTTGTCAAAAGTTAAATACGATGTTGACCACTTCTCATATTTCGGTAAGAAATGCAACAGAGCAATACCCTTATTCTTGCCCCATATTGCTTCTTTCATAAATAGAAATGCCACTAATATGAATGTACCCCTTTTTGGAGAAAATATATTTCAGAATTCATCTTGTGTATTCCCAATCATGAAGAAGCTAAGGAATTCACCCTGTTTCACTCTCTCTCTCTCTCTCTCTCTCTCTCTCTCTCTCTGGGATAGGACTGCTGCTCTGATCTACTTCAGAAAAATTCAAGAAAGCAATGCTCATTCCGCTCTTCAGACACATAATGCTCATTCCGCTCTTCAGATACATAGTTATAATTCTAAATTCCACCTCAAAAAAAAACAAATGCCTAGAAACCAATGCACAATGTAAATGCTAATGCCATTTGAATACATATAACCTCATGCAAGCCGGACAGAGGCTGTTCATCAATAGTTAATACAGTTCACAACAAACTGTTCACATGGTCTCCATGATTTCAGTTAACAGGGTCTCAGTAGACTGCTACTTTTTTATTTTGGTTGTAGGAATACTGTATACATATTTTTTTCCTCAGGCTTGAGCTGGATAAATATCAATAGTAATTATAGGTATTTCATATTAAAATATATATTATATATATGTAATTACCTGGAACTCAATATGCCTTGGATTTTGGATGTACTTTTCCAAATAAACTCCATCATTTCCAAATGCAGCAGCAGCCTCACTCTTAGCTTGCTGTGAAAAGAAATAAATAAAACAAACTCAAGTTATAGAAAACTTCAAAATGCATGAATTTTTTTTTTTTTTTTTAATTGGTAAAGAATACTAAGATTAGAACGCTTTAGATTTGGCAAGTGATGATTGAAAGCAAATGCGATAAGTATAACCAACTAAACAAGATGGAAGAAAAAAATAGTCATGACATCAAAACTTAAATAGCTTTTATCATCTTGTATTGACATATCAAGTTATAAAGAAAATGTAAATACTGACAAATAAAAGTAAAGTAACAATAGAATGAAAAATTTTCTGAAGAAAACACAAGACCAACTTTGAAATGATGCAACAGAAGCAGTGAGTGATCCTAAAATAAAAAGAGAGAAATTAAGAACAACCAAGAATTCGCATCACTTCCAAAGCTAAAGCTTGTTTGATTACTTAAAAGGGTACTTTGAAGGAGAAAATAAATCACAAACAAGCATAAAATCAAATACATCTACAGGTGTTATTAAATTAAATTGAAATTATCTCTATCAAAGAGGCCAAAGATATGATGCTTTAAGACAGAGTTAAACTCACAATTCTCTTTTCTTCTCTGTCCCTCTCTCTATTCTTTTTTCTTTTTGGTTGGATACCAAGAAACCCCTTGATCTTACTTGCACGTGTAGTGAGTATAATGCAAGAGATTATTGTAAGATCTTACAACCTTTATTAGTCAGGATATTCGTTGGATCAATACCTAGGTAGGTGAATAATACCAAGGTAGGCGATCCCAAAGTGTTTTGAACCTCAGAGCTGCTGGTCAGAACCAAGAATCATACCATTATACCAATTTATGGAGTTTTGTTAATGTTTATCTCATTCTTCAATCCCTCTCAACTTCTTAAAAACTTATGACTAATGCATAGTCTCAAATCCAAATGAATGCTTCAAAATTTTAACAACTCTCCTAAAATCTAAATTTACTTCAAAAGAAATCTGCTATTCCTTTTTCACCATTGTTAACATTGCATCATTCTGTCAGACACTAAAAAATAAAAAGATCCAGCATCTTGGACAAGTATGTCTTCTACTATCCATATAACCAAGTCAGTAACTAACAAACACACAAATGATGTTAGACCATCTGTTCTGTACAGACTAAGAAAGCATATATTTGTTTGTACAATAATACAATAGTATCAACAGATGGACAACTTCTTCTATAAAAAAATTTTAAGTAATCCTAGACGAAGAGAAACTCAGGAAACTCAAAGTACATTTTCTCACTATTGGAGAAGGATTATTCTTAAGGGAAAAAATTAAAAGAAACTAAATTTTTAAATGGGAGACATTCCTTGAATAATGTCAAGGGACAACTAGTATTAAGAGCGATACCTGAAGCAACTTCACAAATTCATCAGGTTCTTTAGCAAGACGCATTCCACGCCCTCCACCACCTGCTGTTGCCTAAAAGCAGTAAAACATTTTCAGATCAGTGCAGTTCATACAATTTCAATTATTTTGCTTCATGTAAGATACCCACTCCATTCCAATCTTTCAAAAGAATTTACATCTTTATACCTTTTCTTATTAAAATAGTTCAGCTTTCTAATAATTCACAATATTAACTAATACACTGCAAAATGCAGCATCCGTTAAGAAAAAAGTTAAGAAAACCCTGAAAAGCTAGTCTACGTTACTGATAGAAGGTAATGGATGTAAATTGCAATTTGCTATAGTCAAAACAAGGGACCGTGAGCTATAACTATGACAGAACAATATATGATAGAGGAGATCAATAACCTTGATCATCACAGGGAATCCAATCTCATGGGCAAGCTTGATCGCTTCCTCTGTGCTCTGTATCAACAATTAATCAACAAAGAGAGCAAGTAATTAGCAAACTGTCATTATCACTACTTGGTGTAAAGATCATAATACACAAATAATCGCCAAATGTGACACCTGTAACAATCCAGCACTCCCCGGTACAGTAGGAACACCTGCATTCTTCATTGTCTCCCTGGCAGTTGATTTGTCACCCATAATGCGGATACTGTCGGGCTACCAAAACATGATTGGAATTCAACTACATATTTAGTCTATAAAAATAGAGACGATCCTTGCTAGGAAACTACTATTTGCATTTTCTATTGTACTACCCCCGATTTGAAGTACTTACATTTGGCCCAATAAAATTGATTCCATGCTCTCTGCACATTTCAACAAATACTGCATTCTCAGCAAGAAATCCATATCCAGGATGAAGCATTGTGCAGCCTCGACTGATAGCAGCAGATAGAACATTTGGAATCAACAAATACCTGTGGAAAGACAGCTTAATTATGCCATGATGATCCATACCAGAAATTGAAAAAGGATGAATGCAAAACTTCAGCCTCATATTCACATATTTGTTCAGTACAAAGGTTTTCCTCAAAGAAGCGTATTATTGAATTTAGATTAAAACCATGTACATCTAGTGGTCCTATAAGTTCCATTCCATATTATTCCGTTAGGGTTCAAGTAGTTTAGTTTTGATTCCTCAAGTTTATGGATTTGATCCACCTGATATCTAAATCATCTAGTGTGGTCAACAGTTAGTTAATGAGTTGAAAACATTTTTTTCTTGTATTTCTACTTCATACTTGTTTGGCTAACCATTAGTGCAGACATGGCCAATATATTGAGTTTCTCTGGTTATGACCAATCATTATAAAATGAAATGGATAAACCTTCGCCACTGTGGGAACCATAAGCCGCAGAAAAACTTTATGAAACATCCAGTATTGTGTTTCAAGTTTAAATAGGGCACAAAGTAATGCAAGAACTGTATTAAGACAAATTCTCACAATCTAACTAGCTTTGAAATCGTATGGATTCCATTTCCTCCAAGCAAGGTATCTAAAAGGTACCAGTTTTCAAGGCATGAACTCAATGATAATTACCCCATCCATAACAATTTTCTGTTTATCCTTGTTTCGCACTTGGACAAATCAATGATTAACAAACGTTATATAAAACAAAATGATGACAATTGCAAAACAATAAGATAATGATGAGCACTTACGATTGACTACTTGGTGCTTCGCCTATACAAACCGATTCATCAGCCAACTTGACATGAAGTGCATCCTTGTCAATGGTAGAGTAAACAGCAACACAAGGTATTCCCATTTCATGAGCAGTCCGAATAACTCGAACAGCAATTTCTCCTCTATTAGCTATAAGAATTTTCTCGCCACCACGGCTCTCAACACTAGGAGCTCCAGCGTGTCTTTTTGAATTCCTGCTAACTTTAACTTTACCCGCCTGAGCTATTTGCCTAGGAAAATTAATCCTACTACTCCCCACCATAAAGCTACATTGAGAACTCCTTATTCCACTACTTCTCCCAAAGAATAATCCCTTCATACAACACAATACATAACATAAATGAATAGAATTCAAAGTTCATTACAGCATGAAACCACTCTGCTCTAAGAACAAAAAACAAGGCTAATTTTATAACCACCCCTAAACTTTACAGCAATTAAAAATCCCCGTAATTTGAAATTTATCATTAGCCTCCCCTAACCAAGAAGCCCTTGGCTTAACACTAGTTAGAGAAAACATCAGGAGCAGTCAGTTATAATTACAGGGGGAGGTAAGTGATATTTCCCAAAACATAGGGGTTAATTTACGACTAGAAAACTAGCCCAATAATTTCATTAAACTATACAACCAACAGATGAATTAAAGTTCATTGCAGAATAAAACTAAGAAAATAAAAATAATCATCTTTTTATACAACAGAAATATAAATGAATTGAATAATTTAATTCAAGTAAAGAAAAATAATGGAGTGACTTACAGGAGGAGTTGAGAGGGATTTCGACATGGTCATTGAGGCGTCCATTTTGAGCGAAGCTGAAATGAGAGGAGTTGAAATGCAATGTAGAGAGAAAAAGAGAGAAGTTTGGAAGTGAAAGAAAGAAATGTGGTGAAGAAGTGGGTGGAGAAGTTGAGATTTGAAGGGAGAAGTTGTCGATGGAAACGAGGTGACTCACTAATTGAATGCTCCGCCTAATGGTTACTACAACAACGACTAGGAGGCAGCTTCCTAAAACGGGCCATTTGAATCCGTTGGATAATGCAATCAAACATGTCCCACCATAACCGGGTTGGATTTAGTTTCTTTAGCAATCGCTGAGTGGGTTTTTTAAAGGATATTGGTCCCGTGAGGTTTTTGAAAAATAATATCAATTCAAGTTTTAAGTGATAAAATAAAAATAAAAAACCACCTTGGGTCTTGGTAGCCTGACCATAAAAGAGAAAAATAGTATCTAAGTTTATATAATATTTTGGAGTCGACCCTATTAAAGGTGATCATTATAACTCTTATCTGACTGATAATTCTAAATTCTAGAGGATTGCACGTAAACTAATCTAAACACTTTCACTTATAAGAGAATTTTTGTTATTTTAGAAACTTTAAAAAATTTTGATATATCATACTTTAGGGGTCTACGTTTTAGCCCTTTTTTTTTTTTTAAAGCAACCTTCAGTCTCCTTTTTCCTTCATGATAACCATCTTCAATTTGGTTGGTTAAAAATACCTTTATTTAGAAGGCTTACTGATATATTAATACTATAAATTCAAAATTTATGATATAATATTAGTCTTAAGTAAATTAATTAAGGAACAAAGCAATGAATAAAGTTAAGAAAAAGTGTGAGAGAAGTGAAAAGTGTAAAAGGTATAATGGAAGAAAACCTAGGAGGGAAGTGAAGAGAAAGGGAGAGTTTGGACTTTATTAAGTGATTTTGCATGCATTCTAAAACAGGAGTGAAGTCTGTGTATAATGCCTCTAGCCAACGTCGGCATTTAATGAGTTGTAAGTTTTACAAATGAAGGAGTGTCTCATTCCACAAATTTAGCAAAGAGTAATACTACACATACATCATTTTTATACAACATTTCTCACACAGCATTATGTGACAAGACATGATTGACTAATTTAAAGTTAAAATTAAATTTTCACCCAATCATATGTTGCCACATAATGTTGTATGATAAATGTTGTATGAGAATGATATATATGTAGTATTATTCTTTAGCAAAAGTAGACGCCCAAATCTGCTTTGATGGGATCCACTTTTACAATACTCCCCTTGGTACTATCGATAAATTGCATTTGACATTACCAAGTTTAGGCAAAATTAAAGCAGTGTTAAATACTCAGAGATTTATAGTGGCTCGAAGCTATATTCACAAGTCTCCTACATCCATTTCTTCAAGACAACCTCCTTGAAGTTTCGCTACAATCAGATTGTGCCCTTTACACTAGTTTAACAGGATTTCGTCTCTTACAATAGTTTGACAGGATTTCACCTCTAGATTTACAAGATTTCACCCACAAAATATTTGAATAAAAGTTTGTGATTGATTGCCTCTCAAACTAGGCTTAAACACACAATAAGAACAATACTTTCAAAAGTTTTCAATATGAGTACAAGAGAGTGATAATGATTTCGATCTTTAGCTCAAGAGATTATGTGAGAATGTTTTTTATGAGCCTTTTGTTTCTCCAATATTCACTATATCTATCTTTGCAATAAATCGCTTTTTATTTATTGTTTATCTCTCCCCTTTGAAGTAAAGAGTCGTTGTTACATTTAATGCACCTCTGAAAAGTTGTAGTACCTAGAGGAACAGGCATTCCACCATCGTGAACGGTCATTCTCAACATAACAGATACTTTTGCTCAGCTTTAGGGTTCATGGAATGATCATTTTACCATCACAAATGGTCATTCCAACACATGGAACGACTAGTCCATTGGCTCCTTAAAATCCATAAAAATTCCAAAGCCACAAATGGCCTTCTAGAACGATGTCATTCTCCTAAGGAAGGGACTTTGAAAAGAAACGATCGTACGACATGATCGTTCCACTTGAAACATTTGTACTTTAACTTGATCTTAAAGCTTGGTCTTCAAGACTTGTCAAAAGCATGAAAACACTGGAATTTCAAAACTTTGACTTTTGACTTGGTTGGAACGATCGTGCAGCTTGGTTGTGCCATTGCGAGTGACTTGACAAGATTTGGACAAAGGCATGAACGATCTCCTGGAACGAGGTCATGTTGTGAGGAACGTTCATCTGGATAGCTCTATGAAACTAGGAACGGTTGTTCCTTCTTCCTGTACGATCATACCACTTGGGAAAAACTGCATTTTTGTTTTGGTTATGACTCTTGTTATACTTTTGCATGTTTGTTAGATATCAACAAACTTTTTAATTAGTTTTGGCACATCAAAACACATGAGGGCTCAACAAATATTATGGTTGGAGATTCTACAATAGAGGACAATTTACATAAGTCTTGGATATGATGGATAATAGAGCCCACTCATGCATTTTTGGCCATACTCTTAACAAGATTGGTGCTTCAACTTCTTCGTCAAATCTTTCCATGAGCTAATGTTACAAGTATCACTCTTTATTTAAACATATATATTTCCTTCATCACCAACTAGTAGGAAAATTAGTAAGATAAATAATAACACTGTTTGCCTGGTGACTTTCATCGAACACCTTTAACAAGTCAAAGTAGCATTCTATGTGCCAAACAATGCTTGAAAACCTGGCATGGCTTGGCCAGTCGAACCGGTTCAACCAGGACCCGGCTGGTGAGCCAGGTTGGTTGAGGCTAAAAACTGACATTTTATAATTGCCCACTTACACCTGCGGTTGGATAGGTGCACTGTAGCAACCGGCTGGTCCAACCATTTTTTCCAAAAGACTGGGTCTCAAGTAAAATAAACCCTATATTCCTTAAACCCAAATATCAACGATAGCACCAAACTCACCCCCCCCCCCCCCCCCCCCCCCCCCCCCCCCCCCCTTCTTCTCCTTTTATTCCATTTCCCTGCACTTTTGGTCTAAAAATCTTCCATCGGAGTCTCCCCTTCACCAACGATTTCCTCTCTTCATCGTGAAGGCGTGAACTTCCTCCCCTTCGTCTTCAGCTGGTATCGAGCCTCTCCTCCTCCCATTTCGCGATCTCCTTTCTTCATCGTCGATCTAGTCTATTAATCGTCGATCTCTTCCTCTTCGTCGTTAGCTGTAGCTCATCTTGCCCAGGAAAAGTTGCCTTTCCTCTCATTTGCGCGATCTCATCTCTTCACGACGTCAACGGCAACTCATCTTCACCAAGTAATGTCGTCACTTGTCAGTGCTTCCTTTGTTCTCTATACTCCTTGTTTATTTTTATTCATTTACTTTAATTCACTTTGCCATTTCTTTTAATAGATTGCAATTATCTGGTGGGTTGTAAACTTTTAAAGCATTAGCTCCTGGCTCCTGTGGCTACTCTGGCTTGGTCATTCAAGTGATGTTTATGATAAATAGTTTGTGTGTGTTTCCTAAATTTTGCCTCCTCTAATTATTATGTTCTATGTCTGATTTTTGTTTTCAACATGTGTTCGACCAATATTCTGATAGAAGAATTTCTTGATAAAATATGTTTATTTTATATCTATCTAGCATAATGGATTTTGGTATGTTGTTTTAAATCAGTGTTCATCAATTTGATCATGTTTAGAATTGAGGGAAATTTTGAGTCTTTTCAATATTTTGAATGATTTGCTTGCTGCTCTGGAGGTCTACTATTTGTTTTATGTTATTCCATTGCAAAATGTTTAGTTGGTGTGTTAATTAATCGAGCTAGAATTTCTTTGGTATTAGTTGGTTTTCCTTTTTTGCTAGAATTTTTTGTAGATGATGTTGCCAATGTTAATAATGATGATGATCATCTGTTAGATGGTGTGTGAACTATGAAGTTCAATTGAGGATGGAATGATGGATTTAACACCATTGGGTGAAGATCATTTTTTTCCTAGAATGTTGATCAACTATTATGTGATTTCTTCCTTCATTTTGTTATTTTGATTTGTAATTAGTTGTAATAGAGATTGCATTGATGTAATGATGTTTAATGATGCCTTGCTAAGGACTTTTTATTCAAGAATTTATGATTTGGATCCTAATTTGAGATTTCTGGAATTCTGGACTCTATGAACAATAACTTTGCTGATGTCATCACGTTGATGTAAGTATGATGACGTCACCGGTTGAACCAATCGACCTGGGACCCAGCCAGCTTGCCAGGTTTTGCCTCGGGTTGGTTTTTAAAACATTGGTACCAAATGAAAATTTTTCCAACTCCTTTGCATCCATGTTTCTATTGAACTCTTTAAGTTTTAGGTTTTCAATCTACGGAGTAGTAAGTGTAAATGCTATTATGACCAGCCCAATTACTATTGCCTTCTTGCAAATAGCAAGGTTGCCATTGTATCATCTAAGCCATCTTTACCTCTTTAACTTAGGTTTGATATCTAGCCAATAATTCCACCATTTTTTTTTTTGGAAAGCCTTATTATACAAATGTTATAATTTAGTAGTAGAATTCATGGCATTTAGTAGGGATTGACGAAACTCTTCTTACGGGAGCTCAATTTTGCAATCGGTCCATCCATATATTACTCCAACTAGTCTAGCCTTTATTCTACCATTGTCATTACTAGTTCCACCTTGACTATCCTAGTTTTCACATAACGATCATTTTATTATGAGACTTTGAGTGGCCAAAGACTTTCTCATTACATTAGGGGTGACATCACTTCCTTTTGTTATATCACCCATGTTTCCTTGTGATATGCAAGCAAACCTTTGCTTTAATACCAATTGTCACGATTTTAGAAGAAAAAAACTATTCACCCTTGCTACACAAACTTTAAGAAACCTCTCCCCTAGTGGTTGGATAGCAAACTCTTTAGTTATTGGGGTTAACTATACTCAGAGGTCTTGTGTTTGAGTTGTCGGAGAGGCAGTTATCGGATTTACCCAAAAAAAAAACTTTGAGAGGCCCTAAGATTGAAACAAACTCACTAACACCCCTAAAAGCAAATAACACATAAAGAAAGATATGAAGAGAAAATGTTCGTTGTAATATTGC